ATTGGAATTTTGAGGGGATTTTTCCTTGACAGTTGTGGCGGCCAGTCTGAAATTCAGCTAGAAGCATCTGCCGAAAAACCGATGCCGGTAGCTACAAAAACCTGCGGGGAACTCTGCAAAAAACGCATCTTCGCACGGGCAGCCCGTGCGTTGGCCACTTATTTGTCCTTTAAGTGATCACTGCACAAGCAATGCCTGCTGGCTGTTTACTTTCCTGAACCGTGAATCAAGAAAACAATTGCTTAGACTTTCAATAACGTTGCAGTGTTGATGTTATAAATTTTATCAACCAAGAAGTATAAATAGCGCAATAAACTGGAACAGTCGACGCTTCTTTGAGGTGCGTGCTGTTATCAATCAGTCCGTGAATTATTTCTTGTTTTAAGAATTAGTGTTTGATAGGAGAAGTTGCTTTTAACAAAACAAAGTTGCGATTTTTGGTTTCTAATATGCGTGCTTTGCCAACGGAGCAGTGACTTCTTTATTGTTTCTGGATCCTGCTTCCATCTAATCCCTTCACTTGCTAAGCTTTCACACTTGGGAGGTTCACCGATTCCAGCGAACTAAGTCAGTGAAAGATTGACCTACATTTATTACAGACATTCCTTGTTAGTTGTGTCGTCCAATATCTGCTTTCTTGCATGGCTGATGATTTTGTTTCTGCATCACACATGGGCTTTTTTTGATGTTTAAATTGCTCTAATTATCTGGTACCTTGCGTACAGCCATAAAACCTTGGGATCCTGTGGTTTGTCTTTTCAGAGCCGACTGGTTGCTGCTTTCACGTGTTCAGCTACTTTCACGTTCTTGCAAAAATTTTTGGAGATATTGTTCTAGAACTTTGCAACAAATCTCGCCCAGTGCCTAGTTTTTATGCAATGCAAAAACGCATATTGTCGCATATTGCAAAAACGTCTAAAGCAAAAACAAACGTATGTATATGTGTGTATGTAGGTAAGTGTATGCGTTTGTAACGAGTTTTCATCTCGAGATCCACAAAAGCTACAAGGCTGAAACTTTGGTAACTTAATCTGCACATACGTGCGGGCTCTTATGCTCAAAATGAACGCCCAAGTCCATGTGGCTGTCAGGTGCCTGCACGTGGAAGTTTTTTTGGGGGGAAAGCATTTTCGGAAGCGGCGCAAGCTAGGAGGCTGAAACTTCACTGAGATGCTCCTCGGCCGCGTCTAATCCAAAGATTTCAAATTCAGCCTTCACGCACTCCTAAGTTTCACTTATGTACACGTCAAAGTTTAATCTGGCATCATGCCAGTTCCACATCTAAGCTGACCAACAAGTTGTAGAGAGCTGCAATTTTGCAGCTTTACTTGTCGCCCACTGCTGTGCCCTTGAAAGTAAATTGAGTTTTCCAGCCCTTCTGCATCTTACGTACGGACATGTGAAAATTTCACGAATGCACTTTTGTAACTTCAGAACTGAAGCAGCTAGAGGACTGGAACTTTCTGAGCACAACCGACGGTGGCCTTTGACCAGACGGACACAAAACGACTCGCACATCACTTTCATGTCTTATGTACATCTCGCGTGCATGCACGTGAAATTTGACGTAACTTTGCAAACAAAACAGCTAAAGCGCTGAAATTTTGTGAGCGTTGCCCAAGACCGCGTTTGAGCAATTTCACGCGAAGAAAGCATTCACGTTGCCACTCATGTATGAGCACATGAAGTTTGACGTAACTCCGCAACCTGAGCATCTGGAGTACTGAAACTTTCTGAGCGTTGCTCAGGACCGTGTTTAAGCAATCGCACATAAAGAAAGCATTCACGTTGCCACTCAAGTACAAACACGTGAAGTTTGACGTAATTCCGGAACCAGAGCATCTAGAGTTCTGAATTTTTTAGGCATTGATTCGGAGTCATTGTAATAATTTCTAACAGTCGTAGTGGCTACTTTCAATTCTCTTTGCTAGAAGCATCTGCCGGAAAGAACGTGCCACTGGCGGAAAAAAACCCTGCTGGGGAACTGTATAAAAAACGCATCTTCGTGCCAGCAGCTGGTGTGCTTTCGACTAAGTTTGGTTGGGACGCTAGTTTTTACGGGGTGATGTCAGGTATGATGTACGGCACAACTTGATAAGTGGGATCGGCCGTACTTAGTTCGGTTGAGCTCACTGTCAAATTTATTCGCGCGTCTTGTCCAGAAAGAGGTCGCCGGGTTGCTGCGGGGCGTAGGATTTTTGTATGTGTATCGAAATACTCCGCCCCACAGAAAGGTTCACAGAATATTTGTGCGGACTATTTAAGCTCATGCGCAATTTCTCATGAAAGTGGTAGTAATCTCTACTAAATCGAAGTGTGAGAAGAAAAATTTTGTTGCTTGCTGCTTCTTTTATTGTTGGTTGTGAGTCAGCATTACCTCCATTTTTATGCATTTTTGATGGATATTAAAAAACGCATATTGTGACGACTCATGGTGTATGTGTATATATGTTTGTATGTGTGTATGTGTCTGTGTGTATGCGTCTGTCTGAGTATTTCAACTCGGCAGCCAAGTAAGCGTTAACGCGGAGACTGCCAGTGGGTTCTCTAACCAAGCGCACTATCCCAGGAATGTGGTAGCAACTTTCACGCACGTCTACGTACGGTTACATGGAAGTTTTGGCGGGAAAAATGCTAACTTGGAAATCTGGTAAGCTAGGAAGCTGAAATTTTAGGTAGATTTAAAGATTTTAAATTTAGGTCCCTAAGTACGCCCGGTCCTTACTCACGAAGACGTGAAATTTTTAGCGGGGAATTTTGCTAGTTCAGGAACCAGAACAACTAAGTCATTTTCAGTGAACAGCTAGTCAACGGAAGTTATTCATTTTCCTTTATGCAGATTTTACGATAATTTATGGCACTGAGTCCACAAGCAACAGTCGTCAATGCAGTTAACTTCCTAATTACTTCAAGTTTAGCACAAAAACGCATGATCGCATCGGCAAGGTCGGTGCATCCCAGCTTAGGTTATATTCAAATACTTCCCTGCAATCAATGAAAAAAATTTTTTTCTGCTTATTTATGGCATTTTTTAGCGTTTCTGGATGTATTTATTTGCCTTGTATCGTGGTTTAACACCTGCGCTTGGATTTTTCGCTTTGTTTTTCCTGGCTGAATTATTCATCCTTCTGGTTATCCCTGCATCTTTGTAGTTGAATTTCACACCCTTAACACGATTTTTCACAAACTTTCATGCTGGATTTCACAGCCTCATTCCACACATGAGCCCCGTAGCTTTCCCCACCTCCTTCATTGTTTCTGCCCCTATGGCTGCCGGAAACGGCAAATATGAAAAGCAAGCTATAGACGGATTTCACTCTTCAGTGTTTTGCATTTCCCAAGATAACATTGGGTTTGAATATGACTCTACAAGTTAGGCAGTACAGAGGATCTTGAAGCACAACGAGGCACACAGTAGCAGCTCCGAGCATGTCGAGGAAACACTGTACCGTATTTTATCCGGCTAAACTTGGGCGGTGCGGATCCAACTGACAGTTGGTAAATGCGATAAAGGTCAAGCAGTAATACACGAAAAGCGCAGAATGTATGCCCCGTGAAATGACATGGGTAACAACGTGGTATCACGCAAGTTCAGGATGAGTCTTAGTTCGTCGCATATCTTAAATGATTAACAAGACTCCTCGATTAAGAGCAGCCCAGGAAGTAAGCTGGATTGCGAAATTTCGGATTGTGAGCCACATTTCCTTCTTAACTAGCTGCTGAAGTGCATTGAAAGCGCAGCTAACAAGACCCTCCGAATAGCAGCAGCCAAACAGCAAGCTGAATTCCGAAATGTTTATTACACCAACCGGGCTGCATTTCCGACCTAAATAAGCTGTTATTCAGAGCATAGGGAGGCATCTGTTTTCCTGTTCGTCGATTATAAAATCATTTGATGGCGTTTTGTTGAATGCTGTACTACGTGCTCTTGAAGTTGAATAGAAATTGTTTGGGACTATGTGGATATTTTTGAGGCGAACTGCCATATAGAAATAACACTTTTTCACGGTCGAGTTTTTATACTGATCAAAAAGAGCGTGCTCGAAATCCTTTTATCCCATATTGCCTAAGCTTTTCACAGCTTGCTGGATTGATAAGGTGGTCTGGAGATCAACGACGAGTAGCTGAATCAGCACTATTTGTTCAGTATAGTTCGTGGCGGGCAGGCTGCGCAAGATTGATGGAGTGCTGCATGAGCTTTATGCACGAACCAAGGAAGCGGGCCTGAAAATTAGCACGCCAAAAGAATTGGTTATGCATTGTGTTTGGCATGCTCGCGGTCAGAATGCGAATAGACGGTGTTGGCTTGGAAGAAGTTGACACTTAGGCTAATTTGGCCGAGAAGTACCGCAGTCTCGAGTCGTAGGAGGGCTGTCGTTTCACACAGATTTCAAAGCACCTTTAATGTGCTTTAAGTAGTCGAAATCGGAAAACTGTGCTCACTTCTTCAGTACCGCGTGTTGAAGGGAACGAAATACCGATGCAAGACGTGGAAGGAAGTGGAACGCTGGCTGTAGTGGAAGGAATGATAGGCGAAGGAAGAATTGTGTTTTCTAGACCATTTAAAAAGTCAGGTTCCTCTCAGATCAGGGGGTTGTTGTAAAGAAAATAAAATCGAATGTGCAGGAAATGTTGCCAGACTTGCTGAATGCTGTCAGACATTATGAATGGTATCAGAAAGGAAGTGACCGGCTGCTCTAGTGGTGTCAAGGAAAAGACACACGTCGAACAGGGTCAGTAGTCCTGGTGTATGAGAGCATTCCAGTAATGTCAGTAATATGAGATCATCACTCGAATTATCCAAGCAGTCTCGCTGTTCCATATTGATTTTTTTTTTTACTAGATAGTTTTAAATGGCATGTTGGAAATTTTTTTATCAAAAAGAAACAATTTTCATTACTTCGACGAAAGTTTTTATTATTTTTCAAAATGTGAACGTGAGAGCGTAACGTTTGTGTCACGTATGTAAACTCACGTCGCAGCTGTTTGAAAATTCCAGAATGGCAGCGGACAATTTCGGAAGCACAGCAGCAATGGGTATTGCCGCTGCTGCAACACTTGGGGCTGCTGGCTATTTCTGGATGACCAGTGATTCGGCTGTCAAGCTGAATGCCTTCGTGGATCTCAACAAGCAGACTCGCGTGCTACCAGTAAGTAGAAGTTTTGTTGATTTATTGGAGTGTGCCCTATTTATTTACTTCTAAACAACCCTTGAAAGAAAAGGGCAGGCTCCGCTGCTGGCAATTTACTAGTACTGAATTCTTCACAGTTGTGAAAAATGAAACTCGAAAAAAGCGTTCACTTTTCGTTTTACAGAATAATTGATCAAGAGCTGGTACTTTTACCTTCGGTCTTGCACTACCGCTGCTCGCAATTTCGGTTTCAGGGTGCTTGAAAAAAAAAAAAAAAAAAAATTTAGGATGGATCACGAGTAGCTGCATGTCTGAAAGACGATAATTTAATCCCATATGCTTTCGATGATGCAAAAACTGTTAGCGCTGCACTGCGTCGTGGTTTGCGTGAATCGCGTGATGGTCACATGTTGGGCGTTCGAAAAAAGCAGCCAGATGGAAGTGCACCTTATACATGGGTCACTTACAAGCAGGTTTTCTTTTATCACATGTTATGACAATTCTTTCGTGCGTATGATCATACAGGCACTCATACTTAGCAAGATATTTGCAGGTTATCGAAAGATCCGAGAATCTGGCACGCGGATTTGAGCAAATTGGTCTTGTTCGAGGCCAAGACACTTTTATTGGTATTTTTGCTCGAAATCGTCCAGAGGTATGTTTCTTACCGTCCGTTCTTCGTAAGAAATGTTTTTTGGTCAGCATCATGTTTTTAGCTTGTTTTTATCGGCACAGATTTGACAAACCACTGATATGACCGTGTGCCGTAATCGTTCTTTTTTTGGGCCTGTTTTTACTTTTTTACCAGTGATATTGTGCTTCCTCTAATCGTGTGCCTAATCCATTGCTACTGGTAATTTAAAATGTTGAAAAGGAGTCATTTTTATAAGATCAAATATTTTTGTAGGAAAATAAGTTTATTAAAAATGTTGTTTTTGAAAATTTTCAAATAAGAAGTTATCGTTTTGAGTGGATCATCTGTGAGCATGCCACTTACAATAATAGAAGCGTGCTCGTACCTATCTACGAAACACTAGGACGCGAAGCATGCACGTTCATCGTCAATCAGACACAGCTGCGAATTATCGTTGTGGACGACGAACACAAAGCAAAAAGTAACTATTGCTGCTGTTATTATTTTTAACTTGGAAATACAGAATGGACCAGAAATTGAATTTTAAACCGATGTAGCAAAGTATTTGTGTTAAGAGCCTCCAGCACTATCATCGCAGATGAAATGATAGCTGCAGTAATTGGCAATAAGTTCTTGCTAAAATCCTCTGGCCTAAGATAAGGGAACATACGGCAGCAGTTCGAGCAGGACATTGCCAAAGCGATCGGCTGAAAAGCATGCCAATAATAATAAATGGCCAACGCACGGACTGCCCGTGCGAAGATGCGTTTTTTGCAGAGTTCCCCGCAGGTT